ATTAGAATGAACTATATAACCACTATCGTTAGAATTCTTGAAAACAGTATGTCTTTCTTTTCAGTATTGGTCCCTTTATGTATTTTTGTTACATTTTGAATGTTTATTATGTTAAGAAAAAAACAGAAGCACCATTTCTTATCCTTTGTTACAAACATGTTTTTATTTCACACATCCAACAGATTGGTACTCCGGCTAGTGTACGTATATATATATTTTTCTGTAATCAACTAATCAATCAAAAAGTATTTTCCTTTTTATGAACATATAGATAAAAATAATATGTAGTTGTGATGGTTTCTTTTAGCCTACATTCCAAATATTGCTAAAAATGTTTCATTAGAAGCTTTCTCCTAAAGAAATTCCAATAAAAGTTTACTGAAATTTCTCAGCAATGAAATTCACCAGGAAACAATAATTTTATTCTATTTTAAAAATTCACTTCATATGTTAACAACTTACCATATTCCAGATCTAACAAGCATGTTTGACAAATGTTTTTCAGCTTACTACATGTCTGGCAAACTTCTGTTTTCTTGAAACGCATACGAGCACCTGGACACCAACGAAATACTGTAAATGGACGTGAACAGATCTTGCATTCTTTTCCAAATCGATCTTTGGTCTATTGAGAAACAATTTAACTGTAATTGCATTCATGTTTTTTTCATAAGCTCATTTTAAACAATGTATTGGATATTTTACCATATATGGAACTCTTTTAGTCTGAAATAAATAGAATAACAATGAATTTAAGTGATCTAGAAAGATATTCTTCAATTTTTTTAATTATGAGAAAGAGAACAATAGTTGGCTCTAGCAAAAATATATAATCCACATGTATGAGTATTACATATGAGATTTATTGAAAAAAAGTCAATTTTGATGTTCAACATATTCTTTATAGTGTATAGGGTTTGATGTAAGTAATAAATAAAGTTATTCTTCCTAGCATTAAAAACAATTTAGTTGACCGAGTTGAAATTCACAGGATATGACCATCATGGCATACAAGGACATAATACAAAGCTACAATGCCTCTGCAGCACTGTTTCCTAGTTGATAACAGAGCTTTGCTTTGACTACTTTCTCCAATAGCCTCACTTCTTTACTTAGCTACCAAATGAAATGCAAACAACATTCACAAGTTGGGGTCAAAAGCACATCCCGCACCACATTTAACCTAAATTGCAAAAAGGATTAAGATTTTTAATCTGTGTAGTCACAGGTCAAGCAGATAGCCAAAGGCAAAGTGATTAGACATGCAGGTTGTTACCAGAGATTGTGAATAACCTTCCTTATATCTAATTATAAACTTGGATGAACCCCGTGTTCTGTATAAATGTACTCATGGACTTACTTATATGTATCGGAATATTTTACAACTTTTTCTTCCTCAGCATAGTTTTACAATTACACTCTAATTATTAACTGAAACATATTATTCATCTTTAAAGCTTTTTCTTGCAAAAAACTGCCTAGAGTAAATTGACTGAAAAATCTTTTTCTCAAGCAACTTATGAACAGTTAAGTTAGACTTTTTGCTATTAATATTAGAGCAACTGTCATACTACTCCAAGAAACTGTTACTGAGGTTATGTATTTTATGTTTAACGATCAAGAATCAACATTCACAGTGAGCTGCATAAGAAAAGGTACATAATTTAATGTATACAAGTTCCCTTTAACTGGTTGAGGAGCAGTAATGTTTAAGTTTAAAAAAGATTATTAGAGAACAGATAAAATCTCACAATTAACATATTTTAAATTCATCAGTTCATTCTCATGATGAACAGCCATTAGTTATTACAATCTAATACTTTAAAAGCTAATTAAATCATAAAAAACAATAATGGTAATAAAAAATGTAACCATTTTACCCAACTATAAAGTTCACACTCAATCAGCATTATAGAGGAATACTCATGATTTGTGGTAACAATAGAAAGATAAATGTCTAAGCTTATATTCCCTCTATTTTTATGTTACCCATGGTGGTGTTATGTAATGGTATTGGTTATGGACTATTCCTTTACAACTCAATTCCCACTACAACAAGCAGTTTGTGGAATATTATGGTATTATTCGAACCTTAGTACAGGGTGGCAGTGATAGTATTTATATTATATATATATATATACAAACAAAGGAAACTATAAGGTAACCATATTATGCTTTAAAAATATCGATAATTTGTGGAAACGAAAGCAATTTTTTTTTCCAAAGAAAAGCTTACCATTCGAATATAAGGGTTGTCCCCAAGACATGTTTGGCATAAAATTGGAAATTCCTGTAATCAAAATTAAACAAACAAAAATAAGAAATTTTCAATGTAGTTTACTTTGTACACTCTAAAAATTAGTTTTATTTCTTCTTTAACTAAAAGAAATATTAAAGTTAGTGGAAGAACAAGAATACCCAGTACAAACAGAACTGATTCAGGCAAATTTACTTACCTAATTTTCAATGAGTATGTAAAGTGTGTATTCTGTAATTTACTATCCACGTTATTGTAATGACTCTGGCTATTCTCCTGATCTTTCTGACAACTTTATGCTTTTAAATATGTCTTTAAAATTAGTTTATAGATTATTTATTCAACCTGTTACCAGAAATGGCAGTTTGCCAAGTATCTTTGTTTGTGCATTCAAGTTGTTTGCATTCTATATGGTTGTTATTGTAACTCTCTAAACATTTCTTTACTGTCTTAAAACTATCTTTCACATATTTCTTATTGATTATTTTCTTTCGTAATTTTCCTATATGTATTCTGTAGTTTTGTCAGTAGGTGAGAAGAGTATTAAAATTATTTTCCTACTGAACTGATTATTACTGATTATAAATTTGCTAACTCAGTGTTTAACTCCAAATCAGTTTTTATGAATTTAATTTATGAATACATTTTGTTTTCAAGTGACATATGTACAACTTGATCAAGTCTTGAATATATTACTGTGTACAAGATAAAGATTATTATAAAAAAAGTACAAGCACAAGAGTTAGAAGGGATCTGATTAAGGTGTTTAAGATTGTTGAGAGTATTGGTGGTGTTCATGCATCATCTTTTTTTTTTTCACACTTAATGGTGAGAATGGTACGACTAGAGGGCACAAATATAAATTTTGCTAGGGTAGGAGTCATCTTTAGCCAAGACGGTTTTATTTTTCTATTAGCCTTTGGAATGAGTTGCCTTCAGATGTTGTGGAGGTAGTAAATTTAAGTGAGTTTAATAGAATGCTTGATAATTATATGAATGAAGTAATGAATTTTATGAATTATATGGCTTTGAAGTTTGTTTTTTTAATATGTTTACTTTAGTGGATGGGATAGCCTAGATGGACCAATAGGTCTCTTGTTGTCCCTAAATATTATGTTATGTTAAGCTTCTGAGTTTCACTCATGGTTATTTATGTAGATTTTTGTGGTTTTTAAAATGTTTAGTCACAGTAACTTCTTTTCTATGTAACTGTCAGTATCCAAGATACCAGTTGTGTCTTTTATTACCTGGTTGGCTTCTCATTCATAGTAAAACTGTAACTGGCTGCTGGGGTAAAACAGTTTTCAAAAAACATCCACACAGAACAATGACAAAAGCAAATATAATGAAATAATGCCCTTAAGTTGTACCATCCTAGAGGAGTATCCTACAGTCCTTAGACTACCTACTTCAATATAATTTCTAAGACAACTTAACCAAGAGAGATAAACCACAAACTCACACAACTCATACAATTCCCTGTATCACATATGTTTAACACTGATTGACAGAGAAACCTGCAAAGTTAAAATATAATTTCACAGTTTATGTACTGAAAACATAAGCTCCAGATGAAACACGACAGAAAATAATAACTTTCCATGTCTTTTTTCTTTTATGCAATTCTGCATTTGTCTTCTTAAATTGCCTTCTTATATGTATGTGCTTCAGCAGTGAATTTTTCACACGTAAAAAGTCTTTTTTTTTTTACTGTGGAGTAGCCCTGTCTCTAGAATGTTACCTCATATTCTGATAATAAAAATCATAGCTTCTGCGTGAAATAAATGCTTGTTACTCAGTTGACTCAATGTTTAATAAAATGTGTAACATGTAAAGGGAAAGACAGGTCAGAGGAGCAAATAACTACAAATTGGTTGATAAAGGCATTTAAAGAAAAAGACCATAAATTAATTGTGTCAGGGATACTGCCAAGAATTAAGTGTGGGGATGAAATTATAAGTGGGTCACTAGGGCTAAATGCTAGGCTTAGGTTAATATGTGAGGATGAGCAGATTGGCTGGTTGGACATGTTGGATCAGTTCAATGGGAGAAGGGAGCTTTTTGGAATGGATGGTTTACATTTAAATAGGGTAGTGTTTGGCTTGTTTGCAAGGGCTATTAACTCAGCTGTAAGGGACTAGACAGTGGTGAGAGCCATGCAAAAAATTAAGATGTAGAGAAAAGTTTAGCATAGGAGGGAAGCAAAAAAGCAGTTCTAAAGATAGGCTTAATTGTTACTACTGTAATGCTAGAAGTATAAGAAATAAAATAGATGACTTTAGGGCACTGGTAGGAAGGGTGGATTTTTATATAATAGAAATAACTGAAACATGACTAAATGAAGATGATTTTGATGAAAAAAGTTTGTTTGAAATACAGGGTTACAGGCTACTTAATAGGAATAGAGTATTAAGAAGAGGAGGAGTGACTTTATGTGTAAAATATGAGTTACATCCTGTTGATGTTGAGGATAACAAAGATAATAGCAAGGAGATTAAATCCATTTGAGTTTCTATTAGCGGATATAAAGAGAAAATGCTTTTAGTGAGAATTTGTTACAGACTACCAGATGATACTGATGAAATCAGTAAGAAACTTTACAGTGAGATTAAGCTTTCAGCTGCTAATGATGTCATAATTATGGGTGGTTTTAATTTCAGGCATGTTGACTGGGAAATGCTGCAGTCAAACCATGATGGAAAAAGGTTTTTGGAAACTGTTCAAGATGTTCCAACCTACTAGAAACAATGTTACTTTAGATTTATTGTTAACTTCTAATATAGAATTGGTTGAGAGAATGGAAATTGGGGAACATCTGGGTGCAAGTTATCATTGCTCTATTAAGTTTGATGTTTTGCTGCATATGGAGATCAGAAATATTGATATTTTGGTTACAAATTTCACAAGACTCTATGTTAAGAAATCAACAAATATTTTTCCAATTTTGTTGTATATACATTTCATTTTAGACTAACAACAATATTAGGTTATACTTTGTTGCTAAGTGACATGACATAAAAGCCATTGTTGGAAGGTAGTGTTACCAAAACGCACTGGCTTTTCTATATATTAAAAATTGTTAATCTGATTTTTACCAATAATTGTTCTATGAATACACTACAAATTCATTTCATGAATGATCTCAATTTTGATTGACTCACAAAAGAATTTACTGATGTTTGACTGCCTTATTCTGCTTCTTTGTTGGTCAAGCTTGATTTCTCAAAATTTATTTATTTCAGTTTATAATGAAATGTGAGGTAAGGCTGGGAGTGGTAGTACTTGCCCCATCATTTTTGATGGGCTATACACTAGTGTATGTAAGAAAAAGCCCAAGCAGCTTGAATGCCTTCAGTAATAACTTTTTGCTTCCCTTCATCAAACTATTCTACAATGCATTTTACTAGTTTTTCTCCACTCCTCCCTGATATGATTTTCTAAGCTATTTCAAAATGTCAGTACACTAAGTATATGTTCTTTTGATCATCTAGATAATATATAACATCCTCAAAAATAGTTAGTTTCATCATTATTAATCGACTATTTCTCATAAGCCCTCTTGGATTTTGTAATTTATTTTTTTAACCAAATCTCTAGCTTTCCTATATATATAATTCTATAAATCTTCCATCCTATCTCTCAATTTAAATATCTTAAAAGTAAAACATTTATTTTTAATTGGTATTAATGAACAAACCCATATTATTTTATGCCCAAGGGGCAGATTTACTGCTTGATAACATTTTGTGTTGATATTGGATTGAGTTGTAAGATCTTGGTGGATGCAATCAAAACAAGCTTTATTCTGATTCTGGATAATTTTCAGTGACATACTTTTGGGATTTGATGAACAAATAACAAAAAACGACAAGACACTAAATTTATTTTTATAGCTTTTTTGTTTTTCATTTATCTGATTCAGAGTTAGAACTCTTAAATCTGCCAAACTAGTTGAATTGTTTCATTTTCAAATGGCAGTGGAATGCCAAAGCCTTCCAAAATCATAAAATGTAAAAATTTGAAAAATCAGATCCTCAGCTTGAGCAACAATTAGACCATTATGTACCTAATTCATAGTTCAAAGATATGCTTCAAATCTTCCACTGATTAATTTTGTTGACTGTGTGGGGAAAAAACGTGACACTCCTTTTCATAGCATTAGCATATTATGGGAACAATAATAGTTAAGTTATGTTGATGTGAGATATTTGAGTGAAAAGCAGCATAAGATACATCCTCAGATTTGCCAATAAGAAAATTAACCAATTACACATTAAATGGCTGCCAATAATCAGTACTGGCTTCATATTTCTTGAACTCTTATTACTATTATCTAACTCCTTTATCAACAATGTTTAGACAATTTATAATGTAGCCAAATACATATCCACTCACATAAACTTCACCCCATCCTACGCTTAAAAGAATAGGGATGTAATATAAAATATACACATTTAGGCACAGTAATTATGAAGGAAAACAACTGATAATATTCAGTTTTTCAATGCTATTATCAGAACAAATTTCCTTGGATGAGGATAATTACTTTTAAACAACGTATTTTCCACTTCTTGCCTTTTGAATACTTGCAATTCATTTGTATACAGTTTCAAGCTCTGACATATGATCTGCAATATGATGAATCAACGATACAAAAGAAACCTGTCTTATTCGCACTGTTCATTTGGTTTCATACAGAGTTAAATTTATTATTCCAGTGGAAACTTTTGTTATATACATGGTGCTATTAATTTCGGTTTAAGAGGTTTCACTATTTGTGTCATTTCTTGCATCTCAATACCAAAAAGGAAGAAACATTAAGTTAAGCAGTGATAATCTTAGAAGATCCTCAAACTTCAAACCTCATGCTATTGAGCTGTGCCACTTTACAAAGTTTGTGGTTGTATAAAAAAATTGAATATATCATACTGCATATCAATTGTCGATTATTGTGTGATAAGTTACACTGCTAAATAGTGACTATATTTAAAGTGAGCAGAACAATTTTTATTTTATGTTTTCCAATTTGTATGTTACTAACATGTGCACCATGACAGAAAAGTAACATAACATCTTCCTAAATTTCAGTCACTACTTGGTTGTTGAAATCAGTGGTTCCCAACCTTTTTATGCCTCATATCCCCAATAAGACCTTTGAGCCAGTGGCATAACCCTGAAGACACATATATTTTGTTAAAAGACTTAGAATGGTTCATATTAAATTAAATCAAATAAAATAATTCAAAAGTGAGTCAACAATACATGAATGTTAAATACTAGTTGTTGGAATACATTGGTAACTCATCAAGACGACCCTCCAATTTTGAGATGTGGGGTTTATTTTATTTTTAATGTTTTTAAAAGTTTCTTCAGTACCCTCAGAAAAATCTCTGCACATCCCAAGGGGTACACATACCACAGGTTGTGATTCACTGGCTTAGATAATAGTGGCCAGTTCTAATTAATCAGTTATTGTGGTTAATAAACTGATTACTCAGATATTAATATTAGTGGTATAAAACACATACAAATGTTGAGTTATTCATATTTAATATCCGAAACTATAAATTAATTATTAATTCTAATCTTACCCTACTGTGATATTTATAACAAAAAAAAATTAAAAATAAGAGAATATATTGTTTTCTACATAGTCTTACTTTACCTGATACGTTATATCCAATCTACCTTTTTTAGGTGTAACTAAGTTATAACTGATTCCAAATCGTTCAACTTCTCATTAAAATTAATTAAATTATATATGTATTAATAATTTATTCATACTAATGACAATGTTAGAATATCAATTTTATCATACACTGACATAAAGCTTCAGAAGTTCAGATAAAACGGACAAGTTATATGTTTCAACAACACTGTATAGCTACAGCTTACAACAATACAGGTATCTTTGCCTTATGTTGTTTGATTATGTATTACTTTTTAATATCGAACGATTTCAAACAAAAAAAATTATTAAAATAACTGCCTTTTCATACCGCGTCTTCCCAATTCTGCCGGTTATAAGTATTCGCTCCTTTGGAAGTCGCCATTCTTCTATGTTAAACAACAACCACCAGGTAACAGTGCTGAAAGTATATTTATATTAAGATTTAATTTAATTTTGAATATTTATAACTTGTATACTCTATTGTTTTTTAAATGGATAATTAACAGTATGATGGAAATATAGTAAATATTCCATATGTTTTTTCGTCTATATATATATATATTTATATTCATCAAATATATGACAGTCATGAATGCCCACAGAAATATTTTCAAGGGGCAAAACATGTATGTAGTTACCTGATGATGACAAAACCTTGTCGAAACGTTGTACATTTGCTGTCATGTTAAACTTATATTAAAGTTTTTCTTCATTACCCATTTAAGCCGTCTCCAGCCATTATTATATCATTTATTATTTAAATGAGGCAAATATTATAGCCAATAATTTACCTTACATACTTTTACAATTATTTTCCTGAAAAGGATGATTATTTAAATCTCACATTTAGCTTTATAAGTTGATTTGTTCCATTAAAGTTTAAAGGATCTATGTAAATAAGTATGTTTATTCATTACTAGAAAACTATATTCTTACATTTCTGTAGATATTTTCAGAAATCTTTGTCTAGAGCTTGTTTCTTGCTGACTGAAACTATTTGTATCTAGGATAAACATTCAATAAACTCTGATTGTCAAAAATTATTATATACCACTTTACTTAAGTAATATTGTTACGTCTCCGTTTGTTAATTAACT